GTCTTTTTTACTTCGTTTCATTTGCTGTTGCAAAACTTGTCCATCAACTGACTTTTAATAGGTCAGTAATATTGTTTTATATGGATCGTCGTTCTGATTTATGTTCGCTCTTCATGTGTCAAAGTATCATATTTTTAACAAAAGATTTGTTGAAATGTGTACCAGTTTAATTAAACTCAGAGGTAACGCGTATGAAACACGTGTGAGTTTAATTTTTTATGATTTTTTGCACACTTCAGAATGATAACTTTCATGTAGTGAGAAATTGGACTTTGTAATAAATAAATTGAGAATCTTATTTTTTCAAAAGATCCAGTAAGTTTAATCAACTAAAGAGATCCAATTCTAAAATCACATTTTACTATATTATTAGATTACTCTCCATGGTTCAAAATGTTGCAAAAATGAGCTGTTTCTTCTCTCATCGTTTTCATTTGACCTTAAATAATTTTACAAAAAATATTCGCACTTCGAATAATTACCTTCGGGCAACGGAATACTTTTCAAACTCTTTTTAATATGAAAACTTAACCGTACCTGATATTACGTTTATCTGGCTTGAATAATCTTGCCGTGAACTCTGCGACTCTTAAAACTCGTCACGATCAGAAATTATTTTACTCCATGTAATTTATTATATCGATGACATCACACTTTGCGGTATGCAGTTAACATATAAAATAGCATTAGATACTCATTTTTATTTAGTTATTATTTTGAACAGCAATCAGAACTTAAGAGTCACTAAGAAAACTACGTCGATTTAACAGGTGACAACTCAAACAGTTGTTTCATCTTTTTATGATAAATTTCATTATTACAATTTCTGTAATAGGGTGAATATTTTATTTTATTGATGCAGCAATGCCGAATGAGGGCAATTTTTACTTGAAAGCATATTGCTATCTATATTTCCAATGAAGAACCGTGTCACTACTGCTTGACATCAGGCTCCTCAAAGAGGAATCGACCCCGGGACCTCTGATTCAGGTCCAGTTGTTCTAGCCACGAGTAAGCCTTGATACTTAATACGCTTTAAATTTAATAGACACAAATTTAATTATGCTGTTAAGCAAAATATTTCTTAAGACGTGTATGAAAAAAACTGCATGTAATCAATCCCATAATGAGTCGATCATTGGCATATTTAGATCAGTTTTTTTAAAAATGATTTGAAAAAATGACATTTATGTTTTAGTCTTTGCATCACATTAAAATCTTGTCGAAATTTGTATTGGTCAACATGTGTAAAAAACGCATTAATTATTTCAATAGCTTAGACACCTCCATTCGGCACCTTGTATACATTAAGTCATTACTACATTTTAAAAATGAAAAAAAAAAAACGATCTGAAAAAACTATTTCATATTTCTCGATCTGTTATTCTTTGAGCCTTTTATATTAATTTTATTCTTAATTTGAACGTATTGAATAACGTTTGGATTAGGGATGTGAAATTGTTCGAATTCGACATCGATGAAAATCTTAAAAGATAACCATTTATAAATTATCCAATCAAGAGTTAAGTAAAATATCAGTAATAATGAATCATATATATATATATATATATATATATATATATATAATGTTTCAAAGTCGAAACAAACAATATCAAGATATATATATAATTAAATTTTGAAAATATTATATAGATAGGCATATATATATATATATATATATATATATACACATATTTGAATTTCTGATTTTCTAAAAAATGAAATAATGTTTTAGAATATTTTACATATAGCATACAAATATACTTAATAAAAAAGTATTCAATGCATGAACATTAATAATAAATGTAAAATGTAAAATTTTCACAGCAATTTCAGAAGAAGATAAACGTTAACTAGAAAAATAAATTCTGAAAAAAACAATGCTCGAAAGTTTTTTTTTCACAAAATATAATATAATATTATGAACTTTTAAGGTATTTTTATTCTATTCATAATTCGAAATATCGATTTTATCTGCAAACCCTAATGCTCACCTTCGTATGCGTTCCATATAAAGCTCGTATTTTCGTTTCGAAAAAGTTCATCGAACCGATAATATATATATATATATATATATATATATATATACAAGTATATTTTTTGTTTTGTATTTTTTTCCAAAGATTCGCTTGTCATTGGTTTTTGGTTCGGCGGTCACTGCCCGTTCTCATATCTGCATTCCGGGCTCTCATCAATGCAGTCCTTCCTGCGGAGATTAAAAAAATTATTATATAAGCTACTTGTTGGCATATATAATGATCTTGATATTAACTTCCAAAAAGTTTCAACAGAATTTAGTTTGTAATATATCCTCTACTTTTTTTAAATTTGTCTTGCTTACTTAGACCATTTAGCTATACCTATACCTTTACATTTTGAACTATTTTCATCGTATTACATGCTATCTTTAGTATATATCCTATACTATCCAATCTTCTTTATATTCTTCTTCTTCGTTCTTCGTTTTTCATTCTAGCCGTGCTTCTTCTTCTTATCCCTAATTTTATTCTATCTCTAATCAACAATTCAAATTCTTCTTAACTCAGAGCATTAGCGACTTCTTCATTATTATCTCTCTTCTAATTTTGTTTTAGCTCCTAACTCCTAATTCTATTCAACTCCTATCATTCTTTACTTCTTCATTCTCCTTCTTATTTTTGCGTCTTCTAATCTTTTTTATCTTCTTACCCTCATTCTTTTAATATTCTTTCAACTTCTTAATTCTAATTCTTTCCTACTTCTTTCTTCCCTTCTTTCTTCATTCTACTTTCTATCTTCGCGCGTTATAATATGTTTTTCTTCTTACTCCTAATTCTACTAAACTATTCGAATTCTGTAATTTTAATTTTAACAATACAAATTTTATGTCAATGCAAGAAATCTCGAACCGAGTGCTGTGTACGTGTGAGTCAGGCTTGCTTCTGCCTACCAACGAATTATACTTGGATGACAAGTTTTTTATCATTTCCATATTATTATTGACAAAATATTTTATTATACACTCCACCGTTATTAAATTGGCATTTTTTCAACTGTCTGATCTGGTTCAGGACATAAATTTTAATTAATGCCGTTCGCATCATATTTATGAACTTAAAATCTCGAAGTGATTATTATTGATGTACGATCATTAAAATCTGGTCGTTTGTTTGATATTTAGAACTGAATCTTCAATAAAATATATATATATATATATATATATATATATATATATATATATTAGGGTGGTCCTTAAAATGGTCATTTTCGAATTTTCTTGCTCCCAGGGGCTCAAATGGTTCCAAATTGATAAAAAACAATTCTCTGAAAATTTTAGCTCTTAATATTAACGTTTAGATAGAGCGCAATTCATTCAAAGTTTTGTATGGAAATGGCATGGAAAAATTTTCAAAAATTTTAAAAATGTTTTTTAAATGTAATTTAGCGAACAAATGAATGAATAAAACTCATTCATTTGTCGCTAAGTTATACCTAAAACATTTTTTTTTAATTTTCAAAAATTTTTCCATACTCTTTCCATACAAACTTTGATTGAATTGCGCTCTATCTAAACGTTAATATTAAGAGCTACAACTTTCAGAGAATTGTTTTTTATCAATTTGGAACCATTTGAGCCCCTGGGAGCAAGGAAATTCGAAAATGACCATTTTAAGGACCACCCTATTATTATTATTATATATATATATATATTGCATGCGTGAACCTGTTTCATATAAATATGATTTGGAACCAGTTTTTTTATACATTAATTTATTATGTTGACTCAGTTTTATAAATGATTTATTTTTGCCAAGTCGTTATCTTCTATATATATAAAAATAAGTCGGGTTTTCCTTCCTGGCGAATTAACTCCAGAACGCACGAACCGATTTCGACAATTTTGCATTCGTTGGAAAGGTCTCGGGCTCCGCAAGGTTTATAGCTTAGAAAATTAGTGGTGCATGGCATCGTGCCCTAATGCAAATTGCTGGAACTTCATGCACCGTAATTATAAATCCGAGTAATTAAAATAATCAATAACTGTTTTAAATAATTTCAAATAGATTATCTTCTATATATATATAAAAATAAGTCGGGTTTTCCTTCCTGATGAATTAACTCCAGAACGCACGAACCGATTTCGACAATTTTGCATTCTTTGGAAAGGTCTCGGGCTCCGCAAGGTTTATAGCTAAGAAAATTAATGGTGCAAGAAATGAAAAATTCGAGTAATGACATTAGTGAGAATTATCAGAAATATGCTTGGTTAAGTCAACGAGCAATTCTTGCCGCCAATAAATATGATGTAAACGCACTGAATTTCACAATTCAATCAATTATTGCTGGTGATTTGGTGACATACCTATGATTCTGACTGGTCTTCCGTTTGACTCCAAACGATTGCAATTTCCAGTTCGCCTTGCGTTCGCAATGACAAATAACAAGTCGCAAGGCCAATTGCTTAGTGTTTTCGGGATAAATTTCAAATAGATTATTTATAAAATCATTGTTTTTTGCATGAGCAGTTATACGTTGCCTGTTCACGAGTTGGAAAACCATCCGCTTTATTTCTGTTAACGTCAGACCAAAAAACAAAAAATGTGGTTTACCAAAGAGAACTTCAATGAAACGGATAATTTGCGGATTCACTTTCATTTACTTAGAGAAGTTCAACTAAAAACCAATTCATTTTTGTAATCGAAATAAATTCATTACTGTTGTATAATAAAATCATTCTTTTTTTCTTTTCAAATATAAAACAAACAAAACATTTCTTCATCTTTCTCACGAAACCAACTGCTGGCGAAACGGAGTTCGTCGGGTTTGCTAGTTATGTATAATAAGATTTGTTAAACACTCAATTATTAGAAGTTCTAAATATATTATATAAATAAATTGGATGATGTTTACCATCCTTAACAAAAGTTGTTTCTGATCTAGAATTTTTTCAACCAAGCATAATTAAATTTATATCACATATGCGTCAGTATCGTGTTTATATACTTTTTTTATTTTTCTAGTTTGGACCCAAATGGGACAAGTTTTGAACCAGAACGCATTTCTTTGCGTTTTTACTATGGTGTTTTCATGATGTCAGGAAGAAGTACAACTCGAGCAGAACACACCAGTTCTTATGTATCGCCGACTATTTCGCCGAAATTAGGTAAATTCTAATTGAAACTAATATATTACAACGCAATCTGATGAACAATTTGTATAGTAAACTGAAATGATTTTTGTTTGTATAATTTATCAAAGCTTTTTAAATGTCCCATTATCAACCTGTGCGCGACGAACTTTTAAACCTGAAATAATGCATAGGTCCAGATCTGTGCGCAATACGGCGTATGGGTTAAGTATGGGACATGAAATTTATATCCAAATCACCCAGAATTCCGAGAAAACAAATATTTTTGTAAATTCTGATAGATTTTGAAATTCAGCGTGACAAGGAAGTAGTTAATAAAAAGTTGGATTTATTTTAAATAAATGACTATTTTTTAATATCAATATATTAATTTCTAATTTTCTATTACATTGAATGCTATTATACACTGTTCTTGTCGTTCAATTTTCGCGGAACTGTTTTATTCTCATAATAAACATTACACCACACTTTACTTCCTTTTTTATAATTCTCAACACTTTATCTAGAATTTTATCGCAAAATATTAACACATGAGCGCTAAAAGTAATATTTACAATAGAGACGAGACCGTACCAGGAAATTAATTATGCAATCAAAATAGATATCGTGAGAAACTGTAAAATTAAAATTTAATATTAGATTTAATCAGTGATATATTGAAATATAATAATTTTGATGAATAATTCAGTTTATGAAAATTTACCAAAAATTCAAAAAATGCTCCTATTTTTTGAAAAATAAAATTTTTCAATGATATTATATTTTATTATATGAATTCATCTCTGTAGCAATCGAAAAATGATTTTGATTCCGATTTAAAACGTGATCTAAATTTTACATCTTCTGCTAGTCGTAAATTTCGGTATAAACGTCAATTAAGAACGTAAATGTTCTTCTTCTTGTCAATAAATCGATCATAGACACGAATTCCATATGAAATGATATAGTTCAAAACAGATATAAACTTTTACAGTTATTTAACGAGATGATGTTTCGTTTATATGCTTTTATTATGAAAATCAGTATTAGATCATCCCATAAATTACGGATTGGGAATTAAGTTAATTAAGACATTGGCTTTTTTAATTTATACAATTTGGCATGGATGTTGGAGTTATTTAATATTTTACAGATTTAAGTTAATTAACACGTACATATATGTGATATGTTTGATTTGATACAGCACTAAAAAAAATTTAAATGGTCTAAAATAATAATAACAATTTTTATAAAATTCTCATGATTTCATCAGAAATACCTTGTAAAAAGTGTATACGTTTGTTTCAAAATTTTTGTCTTGCTTGAATTAAATTACAAGCCTAAATTAATATTGAAATCTTAGTTAATTAATGTTTTTTTAATAATAAATTAATTCTATTATATTCTAGTAAATGCCTTTTATATTATTTCTACGGGGTTCAATTTTCTTCCACATTTTTAACCAGTAGTGATTTTTTAGTATTTGCTATTTTTTGGATTTTACATCATACTTTAAATTCAATTTGAAGATATCTTAAGTAAAACAAAAAAAATCTATATTTGAATTGAAGAAATTTGAGAAAGAGATTTATATTAATTTTTTTATTAACTATTAATTTTAAATTTTAACTGTAATTAACTTTATCGATATTGTCAAACAGTTACTTTTCTATTATTTTACTTTTTTGGCTATCAACATTAAAATAATAGTACAAGAATGACTATATCTACTGATATACATAGTTAGTAACTTGTAATAAATTAAATTAATCAGTAATTTATAAATTTACAAATTTGAACTTTATTCAATGTTTGATAATTGTTTATATAATATTATTAATCTGTTTTTTTTTTTTTGTTTTTTTTAGGGACTTCCCAAACACAATCGTCAATGTATGGCACCTCTGTACAAAATAGCCCACCTGTTCGAGACTCTGCAACTTTAAAAGGTTTAAGATTTTATACATTGCATTATAAATAATATTATATTTTATATTATATATATTTATAATATAAATTCCAAAATTCCTAATATATATATTTCTAAATATATATTACTACAGCTTACATAAAGAAAAGAGTATAATTTAATGTTTCCATCGTAAAATAATAAATTACTCTGGTAATCAATCCAAAAATTTCTGAATATAGTAATTTTTAGTTTAAAATGTTTGTTTTATAAAAACACGGTTTTTTATATTTATATAGTTCCAAAGCTGTAAATCACCATCGTGTATTTTATAATGACAACATGAAATGAAAGCATAGCAAATCAATATGTCAAAGTGATGTGGGAGTTTTGTTTCTGGCCCAATTCCTGTTTTATTACATTTAAACAGTTATTTTTCATCGTGCCCTAAAAAACTTATTACAAATACGCACACATAAAAAATATATTTACTTAATTTCAATTACTATTTTTAATTTAAATTTCTTCTTCCAGGTGTGAATTACAGTGGCGCAGGTCATGAGAAATATCCGTCGTGGCCGACGGCGGCCGCAGCCGATATACCATTGGCAGTCAGAGGCCCTGTTACAGGAGGGTCACATCGTTCCAAAAGCTGGACGGACCATACCAACTACCCGAAGGAACAAGCACCAATTCCAATGAGGCCCTACATGAAGAGGTCGCACGCCGCTTCTGTGGGATCCAACACCCAGGTAGAAAAATAATAGAAAATCCTATATCTCAACACGTCACCAGATTTTCAGTATTTTGAGATAATGGAAGGCATCATCTTTACCAGATAGTTACTTTTTTTGACGATGTTTTCTTTTTAGCACCTGAAAACGGTGATGGAAAGATCGGAGCAGAGTCGTATCGTCACAACTACTTCTGAAGGCATCTCTTCAACTTATGAGCAATTTGATAGTACCAGGCTAATACCTATTCATGATGAACCTGAAAAAAGAAGCAGCAGCCCACCTGAACGTGATACTGATCAGATGTCGTTACGAGGATTGTCCAAAAAGGATTTGGAGTCCTATAATACGTCATATGCAGAATCCACTATTTCACAGGTAGGAATTTAATTGATTCTACAAGAGCATTGTAGTGCAGATATATATGGAATTTTAATTTTGGACTAGATTCAGAATTTCGATGCACGTCATATAAGATTCTAATATTATATTTGGGAGATCATCTGACGTTGTAGCAATAGAGTAAAATGGTAATTTTTGGTTAAGTTTCTACAATTGTTCAGTTATACGATTTATACTTAATGCTTGTAATGCTCTTGTGTGCAATTTGAATAAAACCAAATTATGTTGTTGTACATGGAAGAAAAAAGTATTTTATCTAATAACATTCTGGTGTATAGAATCGTTAGGTATGTTCACATCATTAATCAATCAATCACATGGTTTAAAAATTATGGAAAATATACAATGTATCATTCCAATTTGGAACAACGAGTATCAAATGACGCAGATAGCGATCAATAAACAAATTATAATAAATTTCGCATCAATAAAGAAAACCGTCAAATTGATTCCATCAACACACATTTGAAATTTAAAAATCATTATAAGCAATTAGTAATATTCCATATAAATTTAAATCACATTCGAGAAATTCAATTTTCAAATAGTGACACAAATTTACAACGCGATTGTTTTATCATACGAATAATTTAGCAAATATGATAAAGGTGAGATAAAATATGGAAATTGTCTCTTTATAATTTATTGTGACGGAACTGCATTTATCACAAAGTCGGAAACAATATCTCCAATTAACACAGATTTAAATTTTTGCGGGCAAAATTTAAATTCAAAGATAATAGAAAGGTGTTAAGACAATATCAGCGAAAAATTTGAATATTTGATTTATGTTTGATGTAGAAGTGCTAGATTTGGGTTGAATTAATATGAAGCGTCTCTCGATTGATTTATAGCCATGCGAAAAAGATTAAGTGATTTATTTGTTTTCTTTTATGATAATTATGATAATGATATTGAGCTGATAAAATAATTTTATCTCACTCATATTAATATTGATTTTAGCAGTTGTAATATTATTTTTGTGTAATAGGATACCGGAAAGTTTTCTCCGACCAGTTCCCAGTTGACCAGGGCCGAGTTGGAAGAATACACCAGGACCTACGATGAGGTCCTTGCAACCCAACATGTTAAACAATCATCATATGCCCAATCTGAAGGATATCATAGTTATGTCTCCAGTACGGATAGTATGTCCACTCCTTTTCTTGACAGGTAGGATAAGGACTCGGTTGCAATATTTGCAATAGTTTTCAGTTTTGCTTAAAATTAAAAACTGATTTTTTTCTCTTTTATAATTTGTTCCAGGTTAAGAAGAGATAGTGCCTTAAATACCTTATCTGGAGAAAATGTTTCTAGGGAAGGACGTGACAGTGTAGCAACAATTCATTCTTGCAGCGATAGTGTCGTCACTTCAAATTCGGGCAGTTCTAGTGAAACTTTAAAATGGCATGGGTCCATGAGTGACGTCTCTGTTGCCAGCAGTTCCATGGGAACAGGTAAAAATAAGAGAACTTCTTTGCTAAAACATTTTATCTTCAACATTAATTAGTCATGCTTTTTTATTCCTAAATGCTTATTGGTGAAAAAACAAAAAGTTAGGTAATATCGTTATATTTACTATTTTATTATAATATTATTTTACAGCAACTTCAAGATCTCACATAGCACATAGTGCCAGAGTTAAAACTCCACAAAGACACAATTCGGAAAGTATTTTGTTTATAAATGGAGCACCAGCTAATGGTGCTCCTGAAGAACCGACAAAACCTAGGACCAGATTGGATCGACAGAACTCCAAATTATTCCCGGTTAGCACGTATATGGTTAAACCTACTACGAATGGTCAGGAGAATAAGTAAGGGAATTGATAAATAAGTGTAAAGTAGCTATTTGTTGCAATTTGTTTTATATATTTGTTTTTTTCCTAGAGCTCCAAGATCACCTCCCCACCAAGTTCAACCAAGTGTTGCCGAACGCATAAATGAACTTGAACGGCAACAATCGACCAGGTATTCTTTTCTAGGACCATCCAAACGTCACAAAATCTCAGACCCGGCTTTAAAAGCTATTCAGAAAAAAGCTTTACTTTCATTTTACGAAAGACATAACTCCAACAACGGCAAGAATGCTAATTCCAGCACTGGGCAAAATCAAAACACATCACCAACGAATCATTCTAGAAATGAATCGATTGTTAGTAATAACGTGAATGTGATTAATGGAAATGATCCTAGTGGAAGGCAGGTGGGTTCAGCAAAGGACTCCTGGAGAAGTGAACCGCATTTGGCAAGGCCTTTGCAGGCGCCACCTCCAGTCAATCAGGCTATGACTATGAGACCCAGGACGCATTCTTCGTCGCAAAGTTTTAGCAGCACCTCGAGGAGGTAAAATAACAAAATTTAATAAAATTATTAAAATAATATAAACAAAAAAAAATAACGGCCGACATATTTTTACAATTTAATGAAATCGTTACGATTATGACCCTTAACTTTTTTTTCCAGAGCTTCCACTGCTTCAGAATACTCCAGTTGGCGCGATTCTAATGGTCAAGAACAAAAGTCATCAACGCGTACTGAGCCCAAACAGCCACATTCACAGAAAATCTAATACCGAACCACGGACGTCAATCTAGCATTCCTCATGATGCACCTCCACTGGTGCTACCACAGTACGATCAATCTTCCTCCTGCAAAGCCTGCATTGGCGTTAATATAATTCATACATGTACGCTGACTCCTAAATTAAAAGGACCAGTTGTGCTAGGTCCATCTATAACAGTGGATAACTGGGTGCCTCAAAGGCCTCCAAAAAATCCAGCCTTGAGAAGTATTTATCAAATCGGTAAAACTAGCCCAGAACCGCCTTTACCAAGTCCCCCTACAGTGATAGAAGACGAAGTTTGTATAGAAGACGAACCTTTTCCGCCGCCTCCGCCGAATGTGTTAGATTGCTGGGACACAAACCAAGTTGTTAATAAAAGTACGCCTAAGAGAAGTCCAACAGTGCAACCTTCAAGACGGAACAGTTTTGCAAATGCCAGGGGCAGTCACTTCGAGCATCGGTTAGCGGACGTCAGAGCTTCTGTGAGACACAAACCGGTTCCGGTGATACCGCTTCAGGCTAAACCGGAGCAGAGGTCTCCACCGCCGCCTCCTTTGCAACCGAGACAACCTAGGAACCGCAATGGGTAAGTGATAAAAAAATTCATATTGACAATATATATTCGAAATTCGAAAAATTGCTTTTGAGGTCATAGATTTAAAAATATGCAATATGGGGCAAATTAAAAAAAATACAATATGGGGAAAATACCCCAAATGGAATAAAAATGGAAATTTTGGGAATGTAAAAAAATGGGAGTTGGGAAAAGTTGGGAATGTTAAAAAAAAAACAATATGGGAAAAAATACCCCAAATGGAATAAAAATGGAATTTTTGAATTTAAATTTTAGACAATGCACTAAGAAAGCTTTAGTAAAATTTAGATAAAATTTAATTTTGTTTAGTTTTAAATTTTAGCTGTTGTTTTTTTTTTTCAAAATTTTCATTAGGAGGTCATATTCTAAAAGATGATAGAAGGAGGTTTTTCGATTCAACAAAAATATTTTGGGGGTAATGGTTAAAACAGTTCCCTGACCGCTGATTGAATTGTATATTTTTCAAAACAAAAACATTTTGATTATAAATCTTTTAGATTTCTCTTATATACATCAAATCTAGAGCTTAATACAAAATCTATCATCAATAGAATTTCAATGGATTTTTTAAATCTTTCACAAATTTTAGTTATATTGAGTATTTTGAGTTCCAAATTGCATAGAAATCCAATAAAATTCAAAATTGCTTATAAATTAGTCGTTGTTTATGATTATTCCTTTGACTTTTATTAAATAATTTTGATCAAATGATACAGAATTTTTTGATAATTTAACAAAGCCGATTTTATGAAATAAAAATTATATAATAATTTTTACACCTGTCCTAAAATGGACAATAAATAAAACTGTAAGAAAAAATATTACTTTAAAAATACAAAACCTTCTGACCATCGTCAAATATTTTGAAAATTGATCTATTATATGTAATATGATTTTTCTAATCTTGCCTTGGTAATGTAGCAAAGTTCCTTTGCAAGCGGGTTTGGATGATCCTTGATGTGGCTTTTGTAAATATTTGAATGTGTCCGTATATCGTATTGTGGAAATAACATAAATTTTCTGTTTGGTCTTTACTATGGTCAAGAAGAAATACGATTTGGAAGACCACTTAATAGAAGAAATTAACATTTTTGGGAAATGAATCGGTTTGGGTTGAAAACTTTAAACTATTTTATTTTTGAGTTGTTTTTTTTCAAAAACATTTCTGAATTCTTGAACACATCTATGAAAACTGCTCAAGTTCTTAA